AAAGGTAACCCCACAAACCCCCCCCCCCCCCCCGGCTCCTTTGTGCATCCTTCCAAACCCCATCTCCATCACTTCGAAGCACCCCATGACGTGGGCTCTCAGTTCCTAATTAATGCTTTAATTAAGCCTCTCAGTTAAGCCGTCAGCCGTGACTCACTTTCCCCAGGCCGTGACCCCGAAGGCCAGACCCCACTCACTGCATTTCGGCACAGCCCTTGGGTGCCGCCCGCCCTCAGAAGGGTCTCGGCAGCAATTTCATCGACAACCTGATTTAATCAGCAGCCCCTCCTCGAAGGGCTTCATTAAGTAATGAAGCGAGTGGCTGTCCTCCCCCCCAAGCTGCTTAACGGATTAAAGGATGTGAAGGAGCTTTTTGGTGTGAGCTGATGACATGGAAGAAACCAGCCAGTTCTCCGCTGTGGGACCCCCAGCTTCCCGCCCCCCCCCAGCAAATCCTCAGCGCTGGGATCCCGCTGGGATCTGGCCGGATCACCCCTCTTGCAAAACACCTTCACCCACCACGCTGGGGAATCCGGGAGGGATGAAACCCCTGTGAGGGGGAAGGTGCTTTGCTGGGTGGTGGGTGCCCTGGTGCAACTGGATTTGCTTAAATCACTTTCTGAGGGCCCTGAACTGACACCCACTCCCCAAATATCTCCTGTCTGGAGCCAAGTGCTGCCCCACATGCTCTGCATTTGGTAAATCAGGGTTATTTATAGGCCTGGCTAACCAGGATTAGGTGTGCTGTGCCTAATACCCCTGCCTCCCTACCCCTGCTGACCTTCATCCCAGCACGGCTTCGTGGCTCCTTGCCTTCGACGGGAGCCTTTTGTGTGGGCGAGAGGAGATGGAAGTGCGGAGCCAGGCTGCCTGCCTGTCCCCGTGTCCCCTGTCCCAGTTTGGGTCCCCCGGGATGCCCACTGGGAGATGAGCGGGTGCCCAGGGTGGCTCCCGGCCAGGGTCCCTACGGCACGACGTGGCTTGTCCCTCCATGCTGGCATGGTCCATGGTGTCAGGGCAGCGCCAGCATCACGTCCCTCATCCCTGGGGCTGGCACGTGGCCGTCTGTCCAAGCGCTGATGCTCTCCTGTCTGTCTGCTAACAGCCCTTTCTGTTTTCCTCCCTCTGCCTTCCCCGGGGGGCTGCCCCATGGTAAGTCGTTCCCTTCGGTAATGGCTCGTTTGAAGGTGCAAGCGTGTCCCCTTCTCCCCGGAGCGGGTCCCTGCTCCCATGAGGGGCCGGGGAAAAGCCTGGCTGTATTTCAGAAAGGGAGCTGGTGCTGTATGACAGGGGTTGCCCTGCAAAGGGAAAAGGGATTTAAGGCCAGCACCGTCTCTGCAGCACCATCCGCAGGGGCAGAAGCTGAAGAAGAAGCGGCAGGAGCCTGTGCCGGAGCCTGAGGCCAAGCCCCGGCGGCTGCGGACGAAGAAGCCGGGCGAGGCGGTGGCTGCGGAGGAGCCCCGTGCCCCGGCACAGGGTAAGCACAGACCCCCCCACAGGTCCCATGGAAATGGGGGGACACGCTGGTCCCCCCCATGGCCCCATCCTGCACCAGCGGTGCTCTCCATCGCAGGCATCTCTTGAAATGCGCAGGGGTGAAGAAGCTGAGGAAGAAGAAGGAGGAGAAGGGGGAGGAGGAGAGCAACAAGGACCCCTACTCCAAATTCACCAGGGAGCCTCGGAAGAAGGAGAGCCCAGCCCCCCGCTCCTGCGTGGCTAAGGGCCCCAAGAAACAGCAAGGTGGGGGGGCAGCACCCACCCCTCTGCGGGCACCCGCTCGTGGCACCTCATGTCCCCGTGTACCGCGTCCCCACGCACCATGTCCCGCCAGTGCCATCGATGCTCCCGGTGTCTGCAGGGGCTCTGCATGTCCCTGGGGGGCTTTTTGGCCAAAACCCAGCTGTACACCTGGGAGGAAAGGGGATGTGGCAGGGGACCTGTATGCGTGGCGTTGGCTAGGGAGTTGGGATCGGGGACGGGGATGTGGCAGGGGACCTGTATGCGTGGTGTTGGCTAGGGAGTCGGGATCGGGGGGGGACACACGCTCCCTGGGAATGTGGCAGTCGTCGGCTGGCTGGTGCCACCAGCTCCCTGGACATCTTTCCGGAGCAAAAAGATGGAGTGGGCAAAAAGATGGGGCTCATCCCCCCGGCTCCGCACCCCGGGGCTGCAGCCGCGAGATGGCGGTGTGACTTCACACGCTGTGTCCGGCACTGGACATGTCCAACGTGCCGCTGGCCACCGCGGCTGGGCCGGGCACCCACGGCCCCAGCACCCTGGCCGTGGCGGGATGGGTGCCCACGCCAGCCCGGCACTGCCGAGGGAGGTTCCCTGCTCGCAAACCACGAGGCTGCGGGTCCCCGATGCAGGAGGCCATCGCGTTGCTGATGGCATGGTGTCACCTCCCGGCAGAGCCGGCCGAGGACTCGGAGGATGAGGAGGAGGAAGAGGAGGTGGAGAATAAAGACCCACCAAAAAAACTCAAGAAGAAACTGCCCAAAGACCCCCCCCCGGGCGAGAGCCGGGAGAAGAAGCTGAAGCCGAAGGGTGAGTGCCCAGGGGATGGGGACGGCTTGTACCCAGCACCATTGCCACTTGCATCCGTCCTTGCTGACACAAGGGGACCGCCTGCGTCCCGTCCCCATCGCTATCCCAGGAGGCTCAGGGGGCTGCGGGGCGGTCGCCCCCTCCCCATGCAATCTCTCCCCGGCTCACCCCTTCCCGCTGCCCCCACCCTGCCACCTCCCTGTCCCCCGTCACTGCCCATCCCCGTCCCCCTGTCCGGCCGCTCATTGGCTCCTCCATCCTGCCAGGAGACAAGAGCAACCCTGATGGCAAAGCCAAATCTGCCAAAAGCACCAAGAAGGAGCCCATGTCCGTGTTCCAGGTGAACGGGGAGAAGAAGGAGAAGAAAAGCAAGAAGAAATGTACGGGGCAAGTGGGGGGGCGGGGGTGGCAGCCAGTCCCGCTGCCCGATGGCATCACCCTGAGCCGACAGCACCTGGTGCTGCGTGACGGTGTCCCCCGTGTTCTCCCCCCCCAGCCGCCACCAGCAGCGATGAGGAGGACGATTCTGACTCCAGCACCAAACCCATCAGGTCGGAGAAGAAGAAAAACCCGGTGTCCCTCTTCCAGACCGGTGGGGACCCCCCCAAGGAGAAGAAAACCAAAAAGAAAGGTGAGAGCCGGGTGCCGCAGGGGCTCGCGGGGATGCGGGTGAGCCTGGCCGTGGAGAGGGGGGTTATGATTGATGGTGTTGGCATGGGTCTATGCCGAGCTCGGTTTTGGGGTTCGGTGGAGTCAGGCTCTTCACACCCCCCCCCC